AGAAGTCCAAAACAAAATAACAAAAATGAACAAAAAATACTCACCTGAAATGGTAACAACCAAGGCCATGCTTCACCCCAGACTTAAAATCTGAAACAGATCCCATCAGCACATGTTTGCACCTCAACGCCATGGCTCTTCCCTCAGCTCAAGCACTAAAACCCGTAACAATGAAATCGATCGCCTCTATTAAGTTTAAAAAAAGAAAAAGAAAAAAACGCCCAAACTAAATTAGGGTTCTGTTCAAGAGAATATTTACCTGTCGCGCCTAAGTTCTCTGTGATGGCATCAAAAGGTGGTAGAGAAAAGGTAGTTAGGCAGGATCGGAAAATGGGACAACCCAAAAAACAGGAAAAAGACAATCTCCGGCAGGGCTGCCTTCAAGCACACCAGCCGGTCCAACTACTCTAACTTCAAAAAGTGCAGTGGGGCTCGATTCCCGACGCTAAAAGCGGATATGTTATCTGATGCACTCCAAAAACGCGGGTGGAGCTCCGAGGAGGTGTCGGATGCGCTGGGGCTCGATACCCGGCAGCAGAAGGCGAAGAAGCCCATGATAAAGCCGTTGCCGGAGCTGGCTGAGTGCCTGAGTCGGTGGACTGGAAGTCATCATCGTCTTCCTTTTGAGAATTGTTAATGAGAGTAATTCTCTAGAATGGATTTGTAAAGAGGGATAGGTTTTTACCTGCTCCCGTCTCCATCCAACTTGCGTAGCGTGTCCGACAATTCCGCCAAAAGAAAGAAAAAATTGTGTTGGACCCAAGAATCCTGGCAAAAGTGCAGTGAAATTACATTTACCAATGAATAAAGAATTGTATCGGAAGCCACGAAATGGGCAAAAAAAAAAGAAACCCACATGCGGTCCACAAAATAACAAAATGAAGTGGTAAAATTGTAAGGGGGTGATTGGATATGAATTCAACTAGTAAAAAACTAGTTTTTTTTAATTATAGTTAAGTTTGAAAAAAAGTAGTATGGTTAGTTGTTAGTGGATATATTAAAATAATATTTAATTTAAAATAATTAAAGTTGATTTGATATAAAAGTAGGAGAAAATGATTGGAAGTGATGGTTAGTTAATATTATGTGAGTGTGTGAATAGTGAATTAAAGTTGATGTGATGTGTAATAATGATTGTTTGATATTATTTAATTATATTGATAATATTGGAGATAGTGGAGTTGAGTTAAAGTTGAGTTAAATTTGAGTTTTGAGTGAAATATTTACTGTAAAAATTATAAACAATCACGCCCTAAATAAAATTGGACAGATGTCAGTTTTTCAAGAACACAAAAATGGACACATGTCACTCATAAAAAATGTCCTAACTCTTTCATGTATAGATAAGATAGGATAAGAGAGATTTCTCCAACCTGCGGCGTACGCGTTCAATTCCTCTACAGACAAAATTTCCACCCAATTTTTCCTCCCCTCAAAATCACTCTGTCGTTCTTATTTCCACCCAATTTTCCCAATTTCCGTTCCGCCCGATGTTTGTAGCCTCCAATTCTCAATCTACCGTAATTATTTCCTCTGCAGATCTATTCGATTATTTTTTTTTTTTTGGCTGCGATAAACCCTAGATGAGGGCCCATAACTCTGTACATGGACGACAACCTCATAATTCTATTCTGGGTAAGTTTGATATATGCTAGGGCCAAACGGCTTGTAATGATGTGGGAGGCCTTTTTTCCTGTACGAATAAGGGGGACATGCCGTGAAGCATGTTTCTACAGTCGACAGAGGCGGCTTCGCGAATCGCCATTGGATTCTGACGAGAAAAAGAAATCCTACTAGACTAAGTCGTCCAGAAGATCAAGGACAAGGAGGGGTCGTAGCTCAAAATGAGCGGTGGGATCCAGACGGCTTCAGACTCTGCTGGGGAATCCTGCTGGTAAGTCTTTGAGTTTATTAAGGTTTTTATCTTATGTTTATAAATTCTCCTTTCTATGTCATATTAGTGGATTAGATTATTATTCTTCGTATGTTTTCAAAATTGTTTTTCTTGCATTGTGATTGGTTGGTATTTGTTTGTTGCTGAAATTGATCTATATTTTGTTGCATCTGAGTTTCCTTTTAGGAAACAATTTTGTTTGTTTTCAAATATGATTTTTCTTGCATAGTGGTTGGTTGTATTTATGTTTGTTGTTGAAATTGATCAATATTTTGCTGCTTCTGAGTTTCCTTTCAGAAACAATTTTATTGTATTTGCAGTATGTGTTTAGCATGTGTTTCACTTGAGTACTAACTTGGGGCTTATTAAGATTTAAATTATTGTATTGACTTCTTTGTTTTTTCCTCAGAGTGATATTGGATGAGTTTGTGTAGGTTGTGGATAGATTTGTCCCAAAAATCCCAGAGAATCGAGAGGGAAAAAAGGACAAACTCTTCGATTTTCTTTGGTACAACTGTCAGCGTTCGAAGAGTTGTTCGTGGTGGAGCTCTTCACCGATGATGTGCCAAAGATTGCCGAGAATCTCTGTATAGACGAGATTTTACCATCTGAAAAGGCATCAGCAGCGAGTATCCGAGTACATCTATTGTGCTCGTGCATCCTGTCCATGGCCGACGCAGGCCCGGGGAATAGTTGCTCGCTGTTCTTCATTCTCAATCGCAAGATGGAGCGGCTTAAATGAAGCCCTGCTGTTCGACTAGGTAGTCGAGGGTCTAGACTTTGTCAATGTAATTGAGATGGCCAGATACGGATTCAGCAAAACCCCAAAGCCGCTGATGTAAGCATGATAGTTATCTTTTAATTTAAATTTTAATGCATTTTTATGTTTTAGTGTTTTGCTCTGTGTATGAATTTTGATTTTAGAGTTTAATCCTTTTAATAAAAAAACATATTTTCAAATCCTTTACATTTCACAATCAAGGGTAGCCATTTCATGGAGTATGATTTGGTTGGATTGTTCTTGAATTGCAATAGTGCTAATAATAGACTAGATCAAAATGGCTCAATTAAATTCTAGTGTTTCTTCTATGAAGTTTCTAGAAAAAAAAAATATATCAAACGACGTAATGCACCTTGGGTCGCTACGGAAACAGCCTCCTTGTATAATTACAAGAGTAAGGTCTGCGTACAACTGACCCACCATACCCAACCTGTTGGGAATATACTGGGTATGTTGTTGTTGTTGTTGTTGTTGTTGTTCTTGAATTGCAATTTGACTTTGCAATACATGTTACGACTAATTAATTTGAGTAGGATTTGGTATTTGCGTGTAGGAGAAGATGGAAAAACGTGTTCATCGAGGATGTTCCGAGCAGTGCGAGGATCGCCACGATTAAGGTTGTTAGGGAGAGTGAGAAAATATGGCAGTTCGCTATTGTTAGATGAAAAAAATGACACTACATCTTTTCACTTTCTAATGATCAATTGTTCTTTTAAAGACAACAATAAGAGAAATCTTATCGTTGTCTTTGTATTTGTAATTTTGTGCACTTATTTATATTAATGCTTTGTTAGGCACAAAACAATCCACAGCTTTAGCTGTAAGGAATACATCTAGCAACACATCTAGCAGCAGTATAAATTATGTTTACCACTATGGTGAGAACTACATTTAAATATTTCTGCAATGCTCTTTTTGTCGATTTGCAGTACAGACAATGGTGAGATATTTATTTGGGGTGAATTATAAATCCATACTCTACATCTGTTAAAAAAGGCAACATGTCCAACAACTAAGTGTAGCAGAGATGCGTATGTTGCGTTGGTTCTGCGGGCACAGAAGAAGGGATAGAATTCGGAATGAGGATATTCGAGATAGGGTCGGGGTGACTCCAATTGAGGAGAAATTGGTTCAACATCGGCTGAGGTGGTTCGGACATTCATAACTTTATCAATGAATGGTTGTGTGCTTTCTGAACTCCACCGGGGTTCCAACGGAGGCCTCCTGATGCACCGGTGCGTAAGGGAGTTCTACAGCGGGTCGAAGATGTTAAGAGAGGTAGAGGTCGGTCTAAACTCACTTGGGAAGAGTCGGTTAAGAGAGACCTTAAAGATTGGAATATATCCAAGGATTTAGCGGTGGATAGGAGTGCTTGGAGGCTCGCTATCAACGTGCCAGAATCGTGACTTTTGCTCCTCTCTCTCTCTCTCTCTCTCTCTTTCGTTTATTTTATTTTATTTTATTTTATTTTTATTATTATTATTATTATTTTTTTATTTTTATTTTTATTATTATTATTATTATTATTTTATTTTTATTTTTTTTTTCGATCTCTTCTTTTTGGTTCGAGTCTTTTTTGTGTTTCCCTTGGGTTTCATCTCTAGCCTACCCCTACTTGCTTGGGACTAAAGGCTATGTTGTTGTTGTTGTTGTTGTTGTTTGGATTTTTTGGTTTGGTTTGGTTAATTTTGAAAAATGTGGTATAGTTAGTTGTTAGTGGGTAGATTAAAATAATATTTAAAATAAAATAATTAAAGTTGATTAGATGTAAAAGTATGAGAGAGAGATTTGAAGTGATGGTTAGTTAAAATTATGTGAGTGGATGAATAGTGAATTAAGGTTGATGTGATGTGTAAGAATGATTGGTTGATATTGTTTAATTATATTAATAATATTAATGATAGTTGAGTTGAGATAAAGTTGAGTTAAAAAAATGGTTGAGTTAAAAATGTTTGGATTTTTTGGATAAATTTTGTATCCAAGCATCCTCGTGGATTATACTATATGTTTCATCTTTTGACAATATTAGATCAATTTAATTTGAGATTTTTTGTTGGTACAATTTATATTGTTTGTTGTGTCATTTACCTTTCTACTAGGAAAATCCCAAACTTGAATTTAAATAGGGGAAATTTGTTATTTACCACATGAATTTAAATATATTGCATATGTACGAAAGGAGTGATTTTATTTGCATGATTACCATTTGAAGTGCATTTAGTTGTGCTGAGGCTAAATATCTGTTACCAAAGTAATTAAGATTCCACGTCTCCTACAATCACGCATGTGTGGGATTTTTCTCTAAAAAAAAAAGGTAAGTATATATTACCTACTAATTAGGTTTTTGTTCAATCGTGATATTTGCATATACCCAGAATATTCAGGAATTTGTTCAATCGTGATATTTGCATATACCCAGAATATTTAAACATGCTCATTTTTTTAATAGACAGTATATATTGCGTTTATAGTCCGTATATATTCAGTATATAACCTGATTTTTTATTTACATAGCATTTTTATCTAACCATAATTGTGATATTTGAATTTTTGTTCAGTATATAACCTATCATATACATATCATAAACTGATCATAATAATTATTTTAATAAATTATTATAGTATATGTAGAGTATATGATAAACAAATGAAGCACGGGCCAGATGATAAACACACGAATCACAAAAAACGAAAACATATACTGTCTATACACGCAACATATACTATCGATTGTAGTTAAGGGAACACATATTAAAATATATACTGTATATATACGCAACATATCCCACAACATAATAAATCAAACGAAAAAAATTCTCCAAAAACCTGAAACATCTTCAATCAATAATCATACATATATTGAATATAAACTAAAATAAAACCAAACAATGAAAAAACATCATTATAAAAGAAAAATCTGATAAACACAAGTTTCCCCCAACGTCGGCGGGATCGACGAATCCGAGGACCCCTGCCCGCCCCCTTCCTTCCCTGACCTCGAGGCCATGATCAAATCCTCCATCGGAACCCTAGTCAACGCCACCTTCCCCAAGCTTAATTGGGGCCGCCTTCCCCAAGCTTAACTGAAGGGCTAGCGTTGGCGAACCGCTATCTCTGGTCGTTGGAGGGCAAGCGGGCCTCCTCGGTTTGGTGGTCGCCTTACTCCCGGCGAGTCTGTCAATCCATCGATCCGCCGACCCTGCGCTCATCCTAGCTGTGGGTTGCCCGTCTTCGACCTATAAAAAAAACAAATAAAAATTTCAATTGTAGGAAGAGAGAAATTTTATGCGTAAAGTTGTAGAAGAAGAGAGAGGGAGAGAAGAAGTTGTAGAAGAAGTTGTAGAAGAAGAAGAAGAAGAAGAAGAGAAGAAGAGGGAGGGGGGAGAGAAATAGAGAAAGAAAGTGTCGTGATCTTTGGGAAGGTGATAAGTTTTCTATTAATTACTCCAAAAATTGATTACATATGTAAATTAATGATTTATTGACATCAGGTAGTTTTGCAAATAAAAAGTGCCAAGCTAGTTGAATTGCTATTATTTATGACTCTTGGTTTCATTAATGTAATAAAAAATTATATGTATCGTACATGGTATAAATTTCTCTAAAAATAAAAGTCGGACTAAAAGTGATCTTAGGTTGGTTTGGGCTTAAACACTTGGGCTCGGATAAATGAATGGCCGAGGAAACAATACAACAACTAAGCCAATTTAGGCACAAAAATAATTCACTTACGCACATAGTAATACACTTAGGCACATTAATCAAACTAAACGCATAGGAAATAAATTAACACTAATTAATTCACGAGAGCACAATAAGCACTTAGGACAATTAAAACAAACCAGAGCACAAAATAAGAAACGAGTTTTAACTTAGGCCAGCGAGGCTAATGCGATGATTTTATTAAAATAAAACGTGGCGTCACACCCAATGGAGGATCCAGTCATGTTTAATGGGGTCACAGCCCCCAATTAAATTTTGCCAACTTGGACTAAACCTAAACAATTATGAAGGACTCAATTAAGAAATATTAGCTGATCACTTAAAAAATTAGTTGATCACTTAAATTTGCCACAAAATCGGCTTTGAAATTTAACTACAAAACATATTATTAAGTCATTTTGAAGATATGGCAATAAAACTATGGTCAATTTAAATAGTTCCTGTCTATATGCTATATATTATTCATATTTCGTATAAACTTTGAGATTTTCGGCTCTACTAATCTAATTATCTATATAGGCAAAGACTTCGGCCAGGAAGAGCCGGCATTGGTGGCGGAGACTTCGCCCATTGGTGCCCCCATTATGGGGGCATCCTGGATCCGCCATTGGTCACACCCACGCCCGAGCTCGAGCCGAGCCGGCCGACAGACGGGCACACGCGCGTGCGTGTGTGGTTGAAGCCAACACCAACACTTGGTGCATAACTTTGTCGTTGTGACATTTCCAACTCTATTTTATGATAAAGAAAATTAAATCTCATTTAAGAGTCCAATGTAGGAATGACTATTGACCCTTCAAATCCTATAACTGCCGTTTTACTTTTACGTGTGTTCGCCTATATTTTTAAAGCTCGACCGCAAGTGTACGGCTTCGCTCGTAGTATGTGGCAAGCAAGGTCGTATCCCAAGAGACCAAATAATTAATATATCAAGTACTAGATTGTGATAGTGTCAACTTTATTTAGACGACCGAATATGAGATGGATTAAATTAACTAAGAAAATATGATCAAAAGAAAATAAAGCAACAATAAGGAACTAGCTAGAAAAACACGTAAGAAGATATATAAGAACGATAGATTCTAAGACTTTGGTTTCAATTAATAGTTGGGTTCCTTCAGAAATATCACAACCAATGTTTTCTTTATCTACCCTATAAGATGATCACAAATTTAGCTTATCGTCCCTCTCGAGATCGATATAACCGTAGATTAAATCACATATAATAGCGTCTCCACTCAACACATGCAATTCTACTCCAAATAGATTAAAAGATCTAATATCCTCACAACAACCTATTAATCTCTCGATTCAAGCAAGTAAATTGTGTCAAATATTAAAGACCTAATATTGAACTCATCTCTCGAATTATGAACAATATTGTCAAACATGTAAAAACATTGATCATGTGCTAAACATGAAATAAGAACAAAATATTTGAATAGGGTTCAAAAGAAAAACAATCAATTATAATAATTCATCCAAAATCCCAACATATTAATCTACTACCAAGTCCTAGAATTAAATAAACTAGCCACTCATGTTCAAATTTAAATACATAGACATATTAGAAATCGACATGATCAATAAAAGTTCAAAAGAAAGAAGAAAGAAAAACTAGGAATCTCGTCGATCTTTCAATCTTCTTGATCCCTTTGTAGTTGGATCTTCTTTTGCTTCCCAATTGCTTCTCTTGTGTGTTCTAGGACCTCTCTAATGTGTAATCACGTTCCTCCCCTCAAAATAGGGTAAATATGTCTTTTATAATGTCCAAAACCCTTCTCCTTTTCAAAATAGGTAAGATAAAAAAAAAAAACAGCCTGCGTGCGCAACACGGCCATTCTGCCCGTGTCACGGTCCGTGTCGCAGCCCGTGTCAGCTCCCAGGTTACGAATTGTCTCTGTTGAGGTGACACGGCCTCCGACACGGGCATGGTGCCCGTGTCACTGCCCGTGTCACAAATCTGCTTGCTCGTTTTTGTCCGTTTCACTCGTTTCTTCTATTTTTTTCATTCATGCATCAATCTTTCATCATCCCGGGGGTTTTAGGTACTCACCATGCACCTCCAATAGCCACAAGCTCTACAAATATGTGAAAATATCTACAAAACAACCACGTGTAATACCTTTTCAACAAATAGAGAATTATAGCACAATAATGCAATTTATACACCAATAATGCAATGAATAAGCTCTAGATACTATATAAATATGATATAAAATCACACATGAACAACGTGTCATTTTATGGCTAACTTTAATAATTTATTTCTCACTCCCCGAAAATCAGTTTTGAGAAAATAAATATACCACGATTATCTATCCAGAACGTAGAATTTTTCTACACGATTTAATCCCACAACTACCGTTTTAGTGGGTCTCGATTTAATTCATATTTTGTTACGACATTTCAAATAATTTTTGTGTGAAATACACTGTTCCTTCTTTTTACCATGATAAGGAGAGACAACTTTTTTTGGCATAAAAAACTTTATAACTGATTGTTTTTACTCAACTGCTTGAATAAGTTGATTTGGATATTTTTACTTGAATAAATTAATATTAATTAATGAAACAATATAAATTTTATATTTATACTTATTATTCACATAGCTTTTTTAATATACGATAAATTTTACCAAAATAATTACTTTATGGAATCACGTATAATTTCTGAATAAAATTTTTGAAATGACACATATTTTGAAACGAATATAATGTAATTTATTATCAGTTATGTGCAACGTGCGGGCTGTGTAGTAATTTTAAATAGACATTTTTATGTAATTTTGCACCATTTAAATTTTCTATAATATTTTCAATAAATCAATCCATGTTTTTAATTTATAATATTATTTAATGAGAATTTTTAATTTATAAATATTAATGAACATCGCTTATCCGTGGATCGCACGTGATTCGTACTAGTTTTATATTAAATATGTTCTTCTCTTAATTTCAAGAATTTTGTAAAATTATGTGGAGATGACTTGTATCAACTGAAATTTTATGCGACCATACACTGTAACCATATTTCCAAAAAAAAAAAAAAAATAGAAAAGATGAATTTATATATCAAAATAGATGAAAAAACTATAAAACTCATTCAACTTACACATAGAGATCAAAAGAAATGAAAAGACTATAAAAACTCATTTAACGAGAAAGTTGTTATCTTAGATATATCATATTAAACTATGGTGCAATTCGAGTTTTTATCCTGCCGTCTGTGGGCGGCTGCTGCCGGAAGAAGATGGCAGCGCCGGAGGTGGTGGTATTTTTTTTAGCCCTTGGACTTGTTCTTCTTTTTCTGAGGAGACTTTCCTTTCTTCAAGTCTGGTGGACCGTCATCCGACTCGTAAGTCAGCATCCCAAGAACTCTTCGCAACTGACCCATAGTTTGTAGCCGAATCGTGTTGCCCTCAAGTACAATCTCATTTATCAAACATCTTTCTAACTCTTCAATCACCTCATCATCATCAACCGCACCCTCATATTTCCGAGCAATTTTGGACAGGTCGGACCACTTGTTAACTAACTCCAATATCCAACCTGGCACCTCCTTTTCGTCCTCTAAGGTGGTTTTGGCAACAAAGTCCATGATCGGGTTAAACCTCATCGCTTCCGGTAGAATGAATAAGATCCTGTAGAAGCTATATGCCACCTTCTTCCTCATCTTCCGGTCTTTATCCAACTCTTTCAACGGCACTGCTGAAAAAACCTCAATACAATCGGAAAGTGTCTGCGCCCCCAAGTATGCGTCCTCTCGTCCAATTTGACGCAAGGAGCCATAATCCCTAGAAATATGGTCGATAAAAGTAGCGCCGTTTACCTCCACAATAT